CCATTTCATCCTGTGTTGTGCAGCTCAGTGTTGTCTCATGGCTGGAAGGTTGGTTGTAAAGTGAGAGTATGGAAGAGAGTGGAACAAGTCTGAAACTCCTCTTTTTATTTCTAATACGGGGGAAACTTCTGTTTAAGTAAACAGTGTGTGTGAGGGCTGTATTTTTCTCTGGGGAACTGAAAAGGGCAGATTTATTGTTCGTCAGACTGTCTGCAAGGCAGTGTACTTGTTCAATTGGTGATGTCTGGAGAGGAAATGGAAACCAAATTGTTGAATTGATGTGAAATATAAAACTCAAGAGCTCCTGTTTGTGGTTTAAATATTTAAATGGAACACCTTTTTTCTATTTTACCAATGTTTTCATGTGAGTATCTTGTTTGTTTACATCATTTTTTTTTTTTCCTGATTACAGCTGTCACATTTAAGAATCTGACAGCGACAAACGTTAAGTTTCCTATCCATGTTTCCGAGGCTCCAAATGGCTCCAAGTTTTCCACCTAAAGAATGGAAACGAAGCACCATCAACACAGAGCTCCTTTAAAAGAATATGTTTTATAAAGCACGCAGTCTGTTTCAGTTTTATGGTCGACATTTACCAATGCAGATGCTGCAGAACCCAACGAAGCATGCAGCTACTTCACATGAAGAGATGCCTGCAGCAGTTGGCTGATTACCTTTAGTAACATTCAACCTTTATTTATACAGGTTGATCCCACTGAGCATCAGGGATGCATTTACAGAAGAGACCTGAATTTTAACAGAGTGATGACAACAACGACAACAATAGACAATCATAAAGGATGCGTACAAATGTATATATATATTTTTAACAATGAAAATAACATGGTAATTAAAAGAGGGATGCGAATTGCTCAGTTTCTGGTGATTCGATTCCAATTTTTGGTGTCACGATTCGATTCCGAAACGATTTTTCTATTGAAATGGTCATAAATTTAGTTTCACTTATGCAACTGACGAGCTGAAAAGATTAAACAACAATGTAAACAAATAGAACATTTATTTAAAGCATAGGTTCTTTATCAAATCTTTTTGCATCATTTTATATTTATACCAAAAATAGGAACAAATACAGGAGTGCATAAAATCCTGTAACTTAAATTACCAGTATTGGCTTAGTTGCCTGGATTTTTCTTTTAAAAAATAAATAAATAAATAAATTCTAGGAAAAAATAATTAATCCATCCATCATCTGTTATCTTTAACCACTTCTTCCTTTATGGGTCACGGGTGTCACTGGTGCCCATGTCCAGCCATCACTGTGTGAGAGACGGGGGACACCTGGACACGTCTCCAGTCCATCACAGACAAATAATTCAAAATATATAAATATAAAAGTAAACAGACTACCACAGTACATTAACCTTTAACTCAACATAAAATACAAACTTCACAGTTATTTTTTTACCATATTAATTCCACTAACATTTGCTATATTTTCAAAACTTAACTTAATATGAAATATACAAACTTCACAGTTTGCATTTATATTTGATAAATCTTTAATAAAATTTCAAAACCTGTGCAAGTCTGCACAGAATCTCTTCTGAACTGTAATTTATAAACCACAATAAATTGTATCATTTAGAACTGGCTGCAGGCGATGTCTCATCTCATCAACCTGTTAAAAAGACAAATTACATAAAGTTTGTTGAACAACTTGTCTGTAAGTTTTAGTATAATATGAGAAATAACGGTTAGCTTTGAGCTGCAGCTGCATCAGAGCTCCTCCCACTTTATTCTGTTTCATGGCGTTGTGGCGCTGCTTTATCACTAAAAATCTACGTGAAGGAATAACAAACGTTGGATCCAGCGTATTAAAATAAACCTAAACCCCTCGCCTTCCACTGAGCTGTTTGCTCATAAATCCTTAGTGATCCAGCAGGAGATGAGAGGGAACTCTTCGCAGCCTTTGGGGAAGCCTGGAAGTTTGTTGCAGAGTTCGCTGGTCGGCTGCTTCGCTTCCATCTTCCACGCATTTTGTCGTATTTCCAAAATACATACCACAATTTTATTTTACACTTCTTGTAAACAACCGTGCTCTTGTGAAGCTCTGTCTTCCACCGGAACATTGTAGGATCGGAAATGACTTTTAAAGGAGCGGGTTGAATCGCGCTGTCTCCCTGCTCCATGCTAGCAGGCTCCATTCAGATAAAGGGAGCTGGCTAACTAGCTTGCTGTACGGTGGCCTACACGGCTCAATTCTACAGCGGCCGAGCTGACGCGTAATGCGATATGCAGTAGGAGCGGGGGAGAAAAAAAAAACTTTAAAGCATTTTTTTATTAATTTATGGGCCTTTAGAATCAATTTATAATTGCCAGGAAATTTTTTTTTTTTTTCATAAATAAAGTCTTGACAGTAATGGCAAATATAAATATTCAGATTGTGGGTTGGTCAAAAAAAATATTATTTCTCCCTAAATCCGTTTCAGTTTAATCTGTGAAAATGTTTATTTTTTTTCTTCTTGCACCAAGTTCTCTGTCAGTTTCCAATATTTTTATTTATTTATTCATTTTTTTACAGCCTGCTCCTACAGGAGTTGAAGTTTAGTCGTAAACTTTGGGGGAAAGAAATGGACTAGAAAATAGCGGGCAACTTTTTAAGCGCCTAGGGAGCAGTTAGAGAGCAGGCGTCTTGCTCAAGGACACCGCAACACATGGACTTGGCGCGGACAAGAACCTGCGACTTTCCGGGTGCAAGTCAGCTCCCCCTACCACTGCACCACATCTGCTTCAGTCGGACTATTAAAGATGGTATTGCTGTCACAATTACATTCTTACATTAAACATTGTGCATAACCAGACATCTTGACTATATTGTGACTGGTTTTACTGATTTTACTGACTGCTTCTGTATCGTAACACAAAAATATCTTTGAATTGTTCGTCTTAGTGGCGTCTTCTAGGTCACAGCATAGCAATTGTACAAGTTGACCTCTTCACATCTGCATATTTTGTCACATAGGCCTTGTACTCACTGCAACCACTGATAGACGAGGCATAAAAACTGTCACTTTGTTCCAAAACCAAACCAGCTTCAGCTCTGGTCTATTGAAACAGAGTGGGCTCAACAGAGTTAGTGAAGGACAGACGGAGCTCCTTCTACAAAGGCAACGTATCAAGGACTGTGTTTAAATGTGGGTTTTACTGAAGTAGTAAAGTTGCGTACTTCATCTAAAAGGTTCACGTGTTGCGAACCTTTTTCTTGTTCAAAACAATTCTCTTTGTGTAGCTTATGCAAGTCTCCTTCAAAAGGAAAGCAGCAAAAGGTTTTTGTGAAGGTCCTGTTTGAACGTGAAATGCAGACGTCCACCGAGGTGTGACGCGTTTCTGTTGTTTACAAGTCGTTTCTTCAAAATAATGTTTTGTTTGAGTTCTGGTGCAGAAAAGTTGGATTTCATTCTTTGGATATTTAACTTTCCGAGTCAGGTTTATTCTTATTAGGGATGCTTGTTGATGAAAAACTGTAAACGTTGTCAATTCACTGAATAAAATATCAAACTTTCTTTTTATACTTTGAATGTAATTAATTAAATGGGAAAATTAAATTCATCGTCATTTACAAAAGTTATGTATTATCTCTGTGAATATTGAGTACTAGGGTTGGGCCATTGGATGAACATATAGACCATCTGCAGTTCATCCAGTCAGTTACATTTTTAAGAGCATTTTTTTCTGCTCTATTTTAGGGAGTTCACCTTTTTCAAGAGTTTTGACATTTTTAAATAACTACAATCAAATTGCCAACTGTGTGCAATCCACTTCATCCAAGTCCAGCAGCAAATATTCTAATGTTCTGTCTGGGGTTGGTCCAGTCTGTGGTCTGTCCAGCCTGTGGTCTGTCCAGTCTGTGGTCTGTCCAGTCTGGGGTCGGTCCAGTCTGGGGTGGGTCCAGTCTGGGGTGGGTCCAG